AGAGAGAGAGCTACGAGTGCAACCAGGCTATGTCGAAAGAAAACTGTAAGAATAATTAGTTCCGCGTAACTTTCAGCACACCGTTTACCCTCCATGAACTGACTCAAGGCTATGCCACCTAGTCACGATATTTTCGACTGTACAGAGAATTGAACGTAGCATTGAACTTGCTGCTGATGTGGATATAAAAGAGAAAATTCACAGAGGAATTAACGGCATCAAAGACATACTTGAAGGTGTACATCACAAGAAATAGATTGCTGTTGACGCCAGTTATCGAGACGCCGGGAAAAAAGAGCATGGCAAAGCCAGGGGTGTGACCACCAATCAAACACAGCAAGTAGATGGCCGTCACCATGGTAACCGTTTTGAATACTTCCAGATCCTTTTTTGAAGTTTTGGAGTCAGATTTGGACGCGGAGGAGATCGACTTTCTCCACTTCTGGATGGTTTTCAGTTTGTACAGCATCACGGAGGTCGTTATAGCAACAATCACCATCGCAACGGTTGACAATATTGTTGTACCTATCAAGCTGTTGAGATATAGAAACACCAAGCCGATTTCAGTAACAACGTTTAATGTCATGCTTCTGTTAAAGGCTGGGTTGAAGACCCAAATTATTCGGGAATTGGCTGCAAAAGGAACGTGAAAGATAAAAAAGAATACGAAGATGGCTAAAACAGCATTCCGCGCCACTCTTGGTCTCAGAAGAAACTTGACTTTAAGGGGCATGAGAACGCACAATGTGCGCTCTAGCGAGATGTATACAGTAAGCCAGCATGTGATTCTAGAGAACATCACGTGCGGATAGTGACAAGTCATAGACGTGAGCGACACACAGTTCCTGTAGTCTGTGTAGTTCACAAACTTAACCACATAGCACAAGGAGGCAGGTATCATGAAGATACAGCCCATGAGGTCGGATAGGGCCAGAGCAGAGAGGCCGATGGTGGTGGTATCTGAGGCAATCCCCTGCCTGACAAACACTCGAAGGTTGATGCTGTTGGTAACCACGCCGAAGATGTTGATGAATAGAATGAAAATATGTAAGTTTTGTTCCAACGTATGCCTTAACTCTAAGGTTACAAGCTCCTCAGCCTCGGGGTATTTCAAAATTTGCCTGTGTGTTCCCGACACTGGGAGAAACGATTCTGTTGTGAATAGGGAGTTGTTCAACATTGTCCTAACAATATAGTTTCTATGTTTTTTTGGGGGCTTTTTTTTTTAACAGATCGCCTCTGTCAAACGTTCGAAAAGACTACTAGAATATCTTTAGACGTGTCCCCCAGACAAAGACTTAAGTCTTCACCTCTTGTAGGGCTGTCACAAAAGTTGTAGCAACTTGGTGGAGGCAGGTCTGACTGTTTTTTCTCGCTTTTCTCTGCTATAACTTTGGAGTCTGAGGGTTCTTAATCGTGTTCAGGAAAGGCAATTCTCTATGCTCAAAATAAGTGAACCTCGTCGTTTTCCGATCATCACTTTTATTTCAATGTGTGTCGCAAAATCACGTATTGTTAGAGTGACGCAATCTGGTTCCAGGCACCTTGGAACTGTCAACAACAAAAAATAATTAAGATAATGATCATGAGATCACTGGCGTCTTAACAGAAAGCTGAGCTCAATTAGGAAGTAACGTCGAAAGCGCTTTTAAAAACACACTAATGAGACCAAGACAATCACTCCCCAAACATTTACATGGATATTGATCTTGTCTCAAACGAGTTCAAAACTGTGACTCAAAAATCTTTAAGTTCATACAGGATGTGTAGGTAATAGGGTTTGAAAAAACAAAAGTGGATCAACATAATCTTTTTGTCACTAATAAGTAAAAGCTGACAGGCAGTTTGTTGATTTAACGGGCAATGTGACATGATGAAGATGATGTGCCTGACATTCTGATGGTTCATTAGTGACTGCCTTCAGTTATTAAAAAAGTTTTAGTATTGAAATATGAAGCTTCAGGACATCCGTTCTTTGTCTGTGTCCCTCAACTCCCTCCCCCTTTTTCCTCATTCACTGACCGGGAAATGTTTTTCCTACAATGAATTTAATTATCCTGCCATGGTAATTGGGAAACTCCAGCCCATGAATTGTCGATATTTGTCAATATCAAGCACTACTAAGCAGACTCCTGGGCCTGGTATTTTTCTGATAATTCATACTGATTACCAGATGGCATACATGCTGCAGTATTTATGCACAGTTTCGATTTCCGGTGCTGACACTGAGGCATGCGAACGACTCTAAAAACTATGAAGGCAAATAAGATTCAGTAGCAACGCGCTCTCACTCAGTGGTTGGTTAACAGATTTTTTTGCACCCATCCAGCGATGAAGCTTTAGGTCAATAGATTTATATTTTCGAAAAATTTCCCTTGTTTCTGTTTTCCATAATCTTGCTTTGTCTCCGAGCGTGACACACACAACGACGGACGGAAAATTAATGACTACCGGTATAGAAATATCTCCCCGAACTCGGAGGAACAAACACATGTATAAGGAGTTTAACAAGTTTCCAGTATGTCGCAACCAGGGCTGCAGAAATGACCACTGAATTATAACAACGGTGAGTTACGCAGAAATACTGGCCTACCTTCTTCATGGAATTATTGGCAAGATATGGGACAGCGAAGACTTTCCACAGGATTGGAGAGAAGGGTTGCTTGTGAAACTTCCCAAGAAAGGAGACCTTCAAGACTGTAAAAGCCACAGAGGAATCATGCTCCAGTCCATTCCTGGGAAGATTTTAAGTCGTACCACACAGGAAAGACTGAAGGAAGCCGTGGATGCAAAACTAAGAGAGGAGCAGGCAGGATTTCGTAAAAAGAGATCATGTACAGATCAGATTGCAACTTTGAGGATAATAGTGGAGCAGTCCACAGAGTGGAACTCTTCCCTGTACGTTAACTTAGTTGACAACGAGAAATCTTTTGACAGCCTTCTATAGGGACTCAATATGGAAGCTCATGCGCCACTACGGAATACCTGACAAGTCCGAGAGATTGATCAAGAAGTTGTATGAGGGAATGAGCTGCAGTGTTTTAATTGGAGGTGTTCCTAACACACTACAAGGGGCACCATTGGCGGATGTTGAATCCTTCACCTACCTTGGAAGTGTCATCAACAAGGCAGGGGGAACAGACGAAGACATCAAGGTCAGAATCCAAAAGGCAAGAGCAGCATTCGTCATCCTCAGGAATATATGGAAGCCTAAGGAACTGGGATTGAACACCAAGCTGAAGATCTTCAAAACAAACTTTAAGACTGTTCTACTGTATGGTTCAGAGACTTGAAGGCTCACAGCTTCAGCAGCAAGGAAACTGCAGAGCTTCATAAATTGATGTCTAAGAAAGATAGTGGGGATCAAGTGATACGATCGAGTCACAATTGCTCAACTGTGGGACAGAACAAGCCAAAGGCCAGTAAAGGAAGACATACAGGTGAAGAAATGGAAATGGATTGGGCACATCCTGAGGAGACCCCCGTCAAGCCTCATCACACAGGCTTTGACGTGGAGTCCACAAGGAAAACATAAGAAGGGAAGACCAAAGATGACATGGAGGCGAGCGGCACAATATGCGGAAATGGAAAAGTCGGGAACATCATAGAAACAGCTAGAAAAGGAAGCACAGGGCAGGCTTCGCTGGAGAAATGTTGTTGATGGCATATGCTCCACTGGGAGTTAAAAAGGAAGAGAGAGAGAGAGAGAGAGAGAGAGAGGGAGAGAGAGAGAGAGAGAGAGAGAGAGAGAGAGAGAGAGAGAGAGAGAGAGAAAGAGAGGCCTATCACCACCACCACCACAACAACAACAATAACAACAATAACAACAAAAACAACTACACCTACTACTACTAAGCTTACTACTACTACTACTACTACTACTAGTACTACTAGTAGTAGTAGTACTACTACTACTACTACTACTACTACTACTACTACTACTACTACTACTACTACTGGTATTTATATAGCGCACATCTAAGTTCTGAAGCGTGATCTTTGCGCTTAACTATTTGAACTAACTGCCGCATTTAGCCGATGGCAAATTATCTCGCAACCATCACGATCCTGGGTCAGTCTCCCCAGAAGATACGATGTTCATCTCTCATTCAATAGGTCCAAGATTTGAAACCTGACGGCGACAGAAAAATTCCTTCTCTAAATTTTTCTCCTTTCACCTCCTGTCCTACTCTCTGACCACATTCTGTGGTCTGCTTTCGTCTCCACTTTCTGTCCCCACCCCTCCCCCCTCCCCCCTCCTCTGGGCTCCTGGCTTTCTGCAGCCTTTCTACTGCTACTCTTTGACTCATTCTTACTGATATCTTTCAGCAACACCCCTGATCTTAGGGTAGGCCTATTCGGACATAAGAGCTGAAAATCTCGTAGATCCTGTGTGCAAGTTGCGCACTTTAAAAAGCCCTTGGAGGTCCAAAATCGATAAGATCGAGAGTAGACTTCGGTCGCCACTTGAGAAAAATTCAAAAGTAATTCTTTCCAAACTGAACATATTTAACTGTGTGCTCATATGACATAATGCGGTTGTGATCGCCGTAAAATACTTACCAAAACAAAACGTACCCGATATCTTCACTCTTGTCCGTTAATCCTTGCCTGTACATTTATCGTGGCGCAAGGCGAGCTTTGGTCTTCATGTCTTGTACTGGTTGTGGGTTTGGGTAGTGTGAGGCCAATTTTTCTCCATCGCTTCTCACAATTTTTTTTCTATACAGGCTTTCGTTATGTTTTCATCGATACACGTATTTCATGGTAACTGATTACTGATGACGTCTGGTCAGCGAATCCAAAGGGCATTTGTGGAGTGTGCTGACTAAATGAGTTACTTCTCGGATTAAGGCTCTATGGAAATAGATACATCATGCTTAAAGGTACAGTTTTTATAATTTGTAAGTATGAAATAGCAAAAGGCATTTACTACTTTATGAATATTGCATCAATAACAAACCTAGAAATTTGACCCAAGTGTCGATTTTTGGTCAATATCTCCATTTGTGGATTGTGAGAAGTTACTCATTTTATCAGCACGCCTCACATTTTTTGGCGCCCGCTGACAATCGTCTCATACCTCTTTATATGTGTTATGTTGATTATATCCCAAACTCTGCTCCTTACAGAAAAACAGACTTCATATTGGCGTCACGCCTTGTGGAAAGTGAAGAGGACAACCCGGGGGTGTCTAAGTTGGTGAAAATTTCATCTAGCCTTGCCCTTTTTTACTTTCCACATCAGCATCCACTCGTGTCTCCTGCCTGAGAACTTACCTGCTTGTGGAAGTTAATAAGGTGTTCACTTTTTCCACCGTGATGAGGACTACTAACTGAAGTTACTCTGTCTTTTTTCCTCTTTGGGTTTCTCTTGATAGATCACTGGGGAAGTCGACCGTTGGTACTTTCAATCTGCAGTGCAACAGGTTATAACGAACGTGACCGTTTTCCCCACTTCATAGGGCCCCTTGCCTTCGGGCCGCCACAGTCTAATTTCGAAGATACTATATTTTATTTTATAACGACTCAATTAATTTTGGATTTTGCCTGGATGGCAGCCGAGGCCTACTCATCGATTTAAGGAGCACGAAAGAATCTTTAATTATCGTGCCCAACTTGTATACGAAACCTCCGAAACTTTTCACCTTTATTCGAGACGGCCAGATGTCCAAACGTACCTATCCTAAGATCAGGGGTGTGGCTGAAAGACAGCAGTAAGAAGAAGCCAGGAGTGGCCGTCTAGAGTAAGAGAGAGAGAGAGAGGAGCACAGAAGAGATGCTCCCTGCGGCCTCGCTTCTCAGAATTGTATCGGTACTTGTGGCTGTCATACTCTACCTTGTCTGCTTGTCTGCAGCGCACACAAGTACTTCGTTCTTCTTTCTGTATCCTCTATTTGTGAGCATCTGTCTGTCTGTCTGTCTGTCTGTCTGTCTGTCTGTCTGTCTGTCTGTCTGTCTGTCTGTCTGTCTGTCTGTCTGTCTACAGAAATGTTGGTGCCTGTCTATCTTTTCTGCTTTTCTGTGTTGTTTTTTT